GGTAGTTGTCGAACGTCGTGCACACTTGGTTAACGCTCTCGAGTAAAAATTTCAGTCGCGCGCTGGAGAACGCGTAAGTTAAGCGCTTTCTCGCGGTCACCCACGTGTCACCGTAAACGAAAAAGGGATTGCTCGCCAGAAGTGGGTCTAAATCTGGATTGATCTTGAGGCTATTCTCGTGGAAATTTGTAAAGCTTGTCGCAAGCACCGTTTTCACCAACTCGGGATCGCGGACCATCAACGATGGTGTCATACAGTCGTAAAATCCCACCACGCTGTGGTTTTGATTAGCATTGTACATCTCGCGACAAAACTCGGAGAGGTTGGACTTCATTGCGATGACATCCCAGGAGTGACCGAAGCCAGGCACGACGCCGTCAGCGGAAGGTACTCCACGTTTCTGCCAGTATTTATAATTTTTTGTCAGGAAGAGATAGCAAACCACCAGAGCTATGAGAATCGGGACCACAAACATGACGTCCATTTCTGCTCTTGAGGACAGAACGATACTAAAAAAGTTTAACGTTCAAGAAGGCCTCTCAAACGACGACTGTTATAAAACACAACTGCGTCTCGCAGAAGCAACTAAACTTTCCACATGCCGACGGTACAGAGCATATTGCAATAATGATGATAACAGGATGACAGGAATTTTCGTGTATACGGAACATGTAATGTTCGTTATGCAATTTGTTATGAAATATTATATCACACATCATTAAACGTTATTCGTTAGTGATTAGATAAAATCTAATCTCATAGATTAAAAATAATTTTTGAATAAAACTTCTCATTTCTATACTTAGAACGTAATATATGTTCTAAGTTTCTATATAATAAATAAGCAGAGGTCGTTAAAATAACTGATATAACTTATTTAAAATAACAAATATAAAATAGATTCCGAAAACTTAACTTTAAAATTAAATATCGTTGGGGCCAATAAAAAACTGATACAACTTATTTAAAATGAAAAATATGAATTAGATTTCAGAAACACGACTCATTTAAACTAAAAAATATATAATAGATTCCAAAAATATATTTAAAATATAATATTAAATATTAAATAGATCAGAAGAAGCTATTTAAAATAATAAATTCTAAATAACCCTTTTAATTTATGTTATTTGAAATACATATTTTAAATAATGTTATTTTAAATACAATTGACCTCTGCAGATAAGTTTTACCTTGACATTGATATTGAGATTATTATTAGCTGCTACCAAAACTGAGATGATTCTTGTAAGCCACCCTACATTCAAATTTAGAACAAGTGACTGAGTAGTGCAATTGCTGGCTATTATTCAATAAGGAAATGATCCATATATACTACTTTACGTTCAACTGTGTACGTTTCAGCTATAATGTTCGTTTAATATAGAATAAATTGTGAATTTGAACTCTATTTTCGCACATATACGGCTATTGACTTATCTAATAATATGATGGCAAATAATGATACTAAAATCTTTTTTAATAGATGAGGTCAGCTTGCTCGGTAAAGGAGTTCAAGTGATATTTCTTGACGCCGCGATTATTATTCTAATAGCAAAGTTGTAATAAAATGATATGACGTTTGACCAAGCAACACTTAATAACTTGAATATATAGTGCAATTTCTTTTCCAGAGAATAATCCTTTCTACTCGTCATTAAAATACATTTATTTTTATATAATACTTTATTATTTCGTCCTTAATATATTAGTGAAAATAATCTAAAATTTTCTTAATAATGTTTAATATTAATTTTCTCATATTCTTTCTTCAGTGATTGCTAGAATCGATTTAGTCTGCAAAATTTTAAAATGTTATTCAAGATAGCGCATGATAATAAAGTTCACTTGTCGACACTGGAAATCGTCAATGCGACTTTTATTACTATTTTGCAGTATCACTCACCCAGGCGTTAATCGGCACTATCAATGTACGCTCATTTCAACGATCCGCTACATCATGGCTGACCAGTCGGGTGTGATATGTGGTCAAGGATACATCAATTTATCTGAATAAACTCACGTATCATCCAGAAGCAGCATGACTGTCATGCTGGTGTCTTTGGTTCTCGGGGCGCTTATAGCCCTTTACTTTTATCTGACGCGAAATTACAAGTATTGGCAAAAACGTGGAGTACCTTGCCTGGATGGAGCTCTGCCGGTGTTCGGTCATATGTTGCCGGTGATCTCCATGAAGACATATTTGGCCGATTTCTGTACCAAGATTTATAATGACTACAAGGGTCGCAGCATGGTTGGAATCTACGACTTCGCGTCACCGTCGTTAATGGTCCTCGAGCCGGAGCTAGTGAAAACGGTGCTGCAAACCAATTTTTCAAATTTCGCCGAGAACACCGTCGAACTCGATCCTAAAGTGGATCCGCTCCTGGCGCATAATCCTTTCGTTCTTTCCGGTGAGAGATGGTTACTCAACAGAAAACGCATAACTTATGCGTTTTCCAGCATGCGATTGAAGCTCCTGCTTGAAAACGTCAAAAAAGTGTGTGTGTCGTTCGAGAAGTACGTGAATGAAAAACTGAGCAATAAACAAACGGAATTCGAACTAAAAAGCCTGTTTGCTAGGTACTCCGCGCAAGTAGTAGCCGCTGCTGGTTTCGGCGTGGATGGATATTGCTTCGATGACGAGAAAAAAGATATATCTTTCCGAAAACTCGGAAAAGCCATTTTCGAGCCGACGAAACGAAATAAAATTACGTTTGCTTTAACGTTTCTCATTCCGTCGTTAAACAGAATCTTCAAATTAAGCATGATTCCGAAGCACGTTGACCATTTCTTCAGGACGCTGGTTGCGGATCTCACGGAACAAAGGAAGAAGGACGGAATACCTAGGAATGATTTTATCAATTTGATGTCTGAACTGGAGCGAGCGGAGGGCAGTGAATTCGACACCGAATATATCACGGGGCATGTGATGATGTTAGTTCTCGACGGCTATGAGACCGCCAGCAGTGTTATGAGTTACATCGGATTTCATTTAGCCACTCACCCAGAAGTACAGGAGAAATTGCGCGAGGAGGTGATATCCGTACTCAACAAATATGACGGTGAACTGACTTACGAAAATTTGAGAGAGATGACGTTCATGGACCAGGTCTTCAACGAGACGATGAGGTTGTTGCCCGCAGCAGTGGTCATGAAGAAACGATGCACGGAAGAGATCGAACTGAAAGGATCCGATGGAATTACTTGTCGCGTGCCACCCGGAATGGAAATCCTGATACCGGTTAAAGCTCTACACAGTGATACTCAATACTGGAAAAATCCTGAAGAGTATGATCCTGAAAGATTCGATAGAAAAAACCACATCGAAAAATTCACCTTTCTTCCCTTCAGCGAAGGTCCGCGCATTTGCGTAGGTATGAGAATGGCCCAGTTGCAGATAAAGGCAGGCTTGGCTATTCTTATAAAAAAATACAGACTGAAATTATCGCCAAGAACGCAATTACCTTTGAAGATGATACCTGGAACCATTTTACCATCACCGGTAGGCGGTCTGTGGGTCACTATTCAGCAGCTTTAAATACGAATAATTTTTTCCAGCGTCACAAGTAATTTTTTACGTTTAAAGCAAAACTTTGTAATTAATCTTTTAATAAAAATTTCCATAGAAATTTTCTTAACATTTAATTAGTTTTTATTATATTAATTATATTAACCGTATCTTTACACAAAAAGATATAGAAAAGGTTGGAATAAAATAAAAATTGAATGTTTATTAATAATATATTTTTTAAGTAAGTATTTTTAGAAGCTTTTGATGCAGTAAGAAAATAAGATAAGCAAGAATTTAACAATCTTTAATCTCTAATAACTTCATATCTTAATTTATATGGAGAGAAAAGATTAGAATATTTGGAATGGATAATATAATAATATAATTCTTTATATAACACGTTAACATATGTATAAATGTTATGTTTATAAGTTTCTGTTTTAGTAAGAAAGAGGAAATTCTATTATCTTTAATTACTGTATCTTGGTATAAAAATAAAAAATTAAAATACTTGAAATCGTGCAATTCATGCTTTATAAAATGTTTCTTTGTAAAAACAATAATGATTTCTACAAACTCTAATTCTATTATTTAAAATTTTTGAATAATCACGAATATTATACATACACACATCTTTCGTATAGAATGCTAAAAGATCATCGCAAAGCGTATTATTTGCATAATTTGCGTCTCAGATGCGACTAACACGGAAACGACCAATTCTGCAGGTAGCAAATGGCAAATGAACAAATTATTTACTCTCTGATACTCGACCATTGCTCAGTGTCTCCTAGAACTCCTTCTCCTCTTCTTTTTCCTCCTCTTCTTTTTCCTCCTCTTCTTTCCCCTTCTCTTCCTCCTCCTCCTCCTCCCGCAACCCGCTTTTATACCCATCCCTGTTGATTCTTCATGACACTCACACAAACGAATTCATGAAAAGATGTGACCCTGAGTGTATCAATCAGCAGAATGAGATGCCACGATTGTGTGGCACTCAGAATACCACATGCGCTTTATTGGAAAGTAACGCGAGAAAGTACGATCGCACGAAGCAGTGATCCGACAAATTCGCTTCCGGCAGCGAAGGTGTATCTTGTGCGGACAAGAAATGAGTATGCACGATCTTTGATATTGCACGCACGATACGTTTCTTTAAATAACATGCAATCCCGAAGCGAATTGCATATATCGTTTATGAAACAATTATTAATAAACAGTGAATTAATAAGCCTCTGTATGTATCAATACAACTGTATATCACGACTTTCTGGTTCTCATATATGAATTATTTAAATCGCTACGAGTGGCAAATTAAATTTAAATCTGTGGAAAATTCAAAACGTAAAAAAATATATTTGAAATAATCAAATATTAAACCTTTACTTTTTATTCCTTTGATTTTAAATACGCACATTTCTTGCGATTGTTTTGATTAATTATTTGTAGTTGATCGCAAACATAATATTGTAATTATCGCTTTTTTCGCATATTTGTCATCATAAAAAAATATTTAACGTGGAATAAATTTGTCGTGCGTTGGACAATTATGACAGAGTTCTACTTGCAATTTCAGATGATATTATGTTTTCAACGATGATACCATATTATTGGGTTACGTGCAGTGTGATAAGTTGCGATTTGCCGTGAACTTTGAGATATTTCTTCGTAAAATACTTCACTTATCAAACTGATAGAAATGTATGAAAGATAATAATATCATTGAATAACTGATATTCGTATACTATGTATATAACGAATATGTCTATCAGTTTTTATGGATCTGTTTTCAATAAATTAATTTGAAAAGTCAAATGCATGCATGTGACTGGGGTTGCCAATCCGGTTCAATTAATTCGGAATGACACAAAACAAAGAGAGGCGATTAACTTAACAAAGCACTTCCAAATTTTTGTTCGAGCGATTATGCAAAAATAGTGCATTATCTTTATCACAGACTAATCCTCTATATCATATATCTCTATTTCATTATTAGAATACTTTAGTCATTATAAAATAATTTTTTATTTTGTTTTTCACTCAGTCTAAAAATAATCTAAAATTTTTGTAATATTTAATATTTCTTTTTTTTATATCCTTTCTTCAGTGTTCGCGAGGATCAATTTTAGTACAATATATAGATACAAATTTAGTACATTTGTAAAATGTTAATTAGTCAAGATATCACATGAAAATAAAGTTTACTTGTCGACACTGCAAATCGTCAATGCGACTTTTATTACTATTTTGTGATGTCATTCGTCCGGGCGTTAATGGATCGAATGGACGCTATCAATGTGTGACGCTTACTTCAACGATAAATCCCGCTAAATCACGACTGACCAGTCGCATGTGATACGTGGTCCAGGCTACAACTTATTCCATACCTTAGTATTAAAGGCTACATTTATCTAACTAAACTCACGTATCATTCAGAAGTAAAATGACAGTCATGCTGTTGTCTCTGATTCTCGGAGCGCTTATAGCTTTCTACTTTTATCTGACGCGAAATTACAAGTTCTGGCAAAAACGTGGAGTGCCGTGCCTGGATGGGGCCCTACCGGGATTCGGTCACATGTTGTCGGTGATCTCCATGAAGACGTATTTCTCCGATTT